CCATAGAATGTATAGCACAAAGACTAAGCCTTAATGTATGCAAATTTTAAACTCCATTTAAGAGTCTGGAGGATTCTGAGGAGGATTGCACACAGTGATAAGAGAATCTAATCATATTTCAGCTTCCTGAAGCAGTTTTGCTGAAAGGAGCAGGGGCATAAGTTATTGACCTATATAACATTAGAAATGAGTCTGGAAGACTACAAAACAAAAAACATGACACGCCATCACTGTATTCTACTTGAGGAAATTATTTCCCAGGGGAGTACAGATGGACAATTCTGATACCACTATACTTGTAGACCGGAAGTCAACAAGCAGCCGATGTTTGGCAGCCGGTGGGACTCAGATGTCCTCATGTTGAACTGGAAGTTACAAATTCGGAAAGGAAGGAGGATGCGCTGGTCGCCTTGGTGATGGAGCAGAGTTGGAAACATCGCTGTGATGTTTAGTTTATAAACTTATGTTTACCTTAATAAAAAAACCACCAATGACTACATAAAGAAATATTTATAGAAATGTGTATTTAAATGTTAGTATATACACATATAATTCCTTGCGGTGTCAGCTGAGAAGGGCCTAAAAATAATATCCCAGCAACCAAAAGCAATTGAGCACTTGGATCTTGATTACTAATACCACTCTTCAATAAAAGGAACAGAGGCCCCTTGGGAAATCATTAATTTAAAAACTCGCACAGAAAACAAAGAAAAATGTGAGTCTAGAAGATCTGTGGTGCCAGAAATCTAGGAAATGCTAAACAAATTACCAAAATAAAAACATGCATCGATAGAGAGATGTTACAGGTGCGTTCAAATCAACTAAAAAGAATGCCAAATGGCCAAATCTGGGATGATTTGAACAACAAAATAGAGTAGTATTGGATTATGTTCCGAACAAGAAAGAATCCATTCTGACATGTCTGAGTGATTGACTACATTAAAAAGTGGGGAAGACAAATCTCCTGGAAGAGTAATTCTATATAATGTATGTGGACACTGCCCTCAAGGATGAGGTGAGGGCGTACTTTCCTCTTCCTCATAGTAACTTCCTTCCTAAGAGTTGAGAATGGATAAGGGGTGGTTGGGGGATAATTTTGCATTGGAGAAATCTAACAAATACTACCCCAGTACGGTGGGCAAGCAGTGATAGTTACATTAATCATATGTGCCCTAACCCATGTTTAAATATGAGGAAAACTGCCTTGTTTTTGTGCTTATTATTGTCTCTGCATGTCTATCTAGATAAGATAGGCGGGATAAACAATATGGAGGAGAAAACAACAGGACCGACGGTTCCGTGGGGACATGAGAGAAGGGAGGCAGGGAAAGGAAGTGGGGGTTAAGAAACACAGGGGCAAGGGAACAACAAGTGATCTAAAATCGATGGGGGGAAAGGCATAGGATGCCTGGTAGGGCTTGATCAAAGGCAATGTAACCAAGAAGAATTACTGAAACCCTAATGAAGGCCGAACATGAAAGTGGGACAAGAGGAAAGTAAAAGGAAATAGAGGAAAGAACTAGGAGGCAAAGGGCATTTATAGAGGTATAAGTACAAACATGTACATATGTAAATATATTTATATATAATGATAGGGAAATAGATTTATGTGCATATATTTATATGTTTAGTATCAAGGTAGCAGACGGGCATTGGGTCTCTACTCAAGTACTCCCTCAACACAAGAACACTTTGTTCTGATAATCCGGCATTCTGTGATGCTCTCCGTCCCCACACAATCACTGAAGACAAAATGGATGCATAAGCAAATGTGGTGAAGAAAGCGGATGGTGCCCGGCTCTCAAAAGATAGAGCGTCTGGGGTCTTAGTGGCTTGAAGACAAACAAGCAGCCACTTAGCTGAGAAGCAACAAAGTTCACATGGAAGAAGCACACCAGCCTGTGTGATTGTGAGGTGTCGATGGGATCAGGTATCAGGCATCAGAGACCCAGAATAAAAGATCATATCAATGTGAATGAGGGGGTTGCAGGGTGGAGACACAAAGCCCATCTGTAGACTGTAAGGACATCCCTTACAGAAGGGGAAGGAAGAAACGAGCCAGTCAGGGTACAGTATAGCACTGATGAAACATACAACTTTCCTCTAGTTCTCTACTCCCATCCACCCACTATCATGACCCCAATTCTATCTTACAAATCCAGCTAGACCAGAGCATGTATGCGGGTACAGATAAGAGCTGGAAATACAGGGAATCCAGGACAGATTAATCCCTCAGTACCTACAATGAGAGCAGCGATACCAGGAGGGTAAGGGGAAGGTGAGGGGAGAAAGAGGGAACCGATCACAATCATCTACATATAACCTCCTCCCTGGAAGACAGACAACAGAAAAGTGGGTGAAGGGAGACATCAGTCAGTGTAAGACATGAAAAAAATAATAACAATTTATAAATTATCAAGGGTTTGTGAGGGAGGGAGGAAGAAGCTGATACCAAGGGCTCAAGTAGAAAGAAAATGTTTTGAAATTGATGATGGCAACAAATATACAAATGTACATGACACAATGGATGTATGTATGCATTGTGATAAGAGCTGTATGAGCCCCCCACTAAAATTATTTTAAAACGAAAAAAAGATGCCCTATAAAATACTTTTGGAATTTTCTTCAACACTGTCCAAGTCAAAATCAAAGAACGCTGATAGGGTCCTGAAACAGGAAAGCAGAACAAAACAACCCCGTAAAGTGAAAGCTAACAAAATCTGAATGAAGCATGGACTTTAGGTATAATTAGGTATTGATTCTTTAATGTTGACAAAGATACCGTAAAGTGGAAGATGCTTGTAATAGGAGGAAATCATTGCATAGTATCTGGGAAATGTCTATATTACCTTTTCAACCTGGCTTATGCAAGCCTAAGGCTATTCTGTCTATAGCTATAGACAGAAAGCCCATTTTAAAGCGAAAGTACTACGGGAAGGCCTCGGAATAACCGGTGTCTCTTATCTTCCCTCCAGTTTTGAAAATGTCTCCTGCCTTGCTGAGTCGACTTCCCTCTCAGACATCACTTTTGATGGCAACCCAATAGCTCAAGAGTCATGGTACAAACACACCATCCTTCAGAATATGATGCAGCTGCGCCAGCTGGATATGAAGCGGATCACGGTGAGGACTCGACCAAGGCGCCTTCCGGTTGTCTTGTTTCTCTCGTGTGGATTGCGCAATCCAGGTGCACGGTCTTTGTTAGAAATGTTTCTGAATTTTAGCAACTATGTTCACTTGGATTACAGTGGTATGTGCTAGGCTTCTCTGTAAAGTTTTCTTTTCCCATTTGTAATTCTATTCCTCATAAAAGGATATTCATTCATGCTTGTCCATATGGACACATCCTTTTCCCTTTTAATTCAGTATATTATAATCCACTGCTATCCTTTTTATTGGGGTACTTCAGTTATCCCCAGAGGAGCCACTTCAAATGCACGGCTCTATCCTTTTGACATGTCTCCATCATTCCTTAAGACCTTTCATGCTTTTTATCATAAGATGCCCCAAGATGAGCAATTTTAAAATGAACCATTTTGCCAAATTTGGAGCCATGGTGTCTTTTACTGGAGCACGGTATTCAGAAGCATAGACAGGATTAGTTGCTCATTGTACTGGGCTTTGCTGCTCCAAAGTCTTCTCATTAGAAAGCACGAGGGACTATAAATACCTATAAGGCTATACACAGACATCAACAGCTATATCTGAGTTCTCACCATATATCCCACCCCAGTCTAACTCATTGGAGGCTTTCATTTCTATCTCTGGAAACGGGCTCTGTTGTCCTTGGGGTGTTCACTTTTGACCCAGCGTCCCGTGTGTAACAACTCTTCTTTTCTGCGATTGCCCCTCTCTCTCTTAGTTGCTCACCTTGCACAAAGTGATCTAACATCTCTTGCTGGCGCATAGCCATGCTCTTTCACGGGGACACTGTGTGTCCTCCACCTGCATTCTGACTCCACACACCCTAACGCCCCTCGTAGGTGCTCCCCGTATCCTGCTGAGGCCCACCCTTCTGTTAGGCGATTCTCCGTGTGGACATCCTTTCCAGCCTGCTTGGATTTTGAAAGGCCAAACCAGTGCACCCCTGTTCACCTCATCTGGGTATTAATACCAAGCCCAGCATCTTCCCCGAAGGGGTGCCCTTCTCAGCCCCCTCGAGGCTGCTTGACTACAATGAAGAAAGACTAAGGAGCAATGCTTGAAGTAGCTGCCCACAAGCTCCTTCCCCCCGTGCACGGGCAGTCGAAGCATATTGTGATCAGTTAACATGATGTACAATTTAATTTTGTTTCCTATTTTTATGACCTTGAAGTCTAAGCTTGAAAACCCGTGCTAAAAAGCTGACATCAATCTTCAGGTAGTTCAGTTTAGTGTTCCTGGAGCTAAGCGAGGCAGTAACTGGGAGGCATTAATTCATAAGTATTCCTTACATGCGAATCTTTCATTATTAATGAGAAATATTAAGTCTAAAGATATTTTCCCTTTAAACCAAATGGCATTTAAGTTATTAATTTGATCAGATCAAAAGAAAGCCACCATCAAATAAAATCAGACTGAAGAAATCACAGGTAGCAAAGATTAATGTCTTGTTACTCAAAGTTCTGTTGTAGCTCACTCAACCTAGAGAATTATCTAAATTGGTTGATATTTAGTAAGCATTATATTAAGTATTTTAATTACCTTATCTGAGGTGGGCAGTAGAATCCTCTCCTGCTGTTTAATCGGTGGAGATTGTTGTTGTTGTTGTTGTTAGGGCCTTCGAGTTCCGAGGCCCAGCAGCCTGGCTGATTCGAAGTACAGCAGAATGAAACCTGCTCTGTCCGATGCCGACCTCACAGTTGTTGTCCCGCTGGCGTCCACTGCTGCAGCCCCTCTGTCGGTCCATCTCATCAAGGACCTCCTCCTTTTCTCTGCCCTTCTGCTTGACCAAGCATGATGTCCTTTCCCAGGGCCTGGTCTCTCCCAATAGCATGCCCCAGGAGACAAACGCTTGCCGTCTTTATTTCTAAGGAGCACTGCGGCTTCTAAGAAGCAAACACTCCCCCCTAGACCAACTACAAAGACTCCAGCAAGTTAAACAGACAATCGTCAGGTAGAGAAAGAAGTGAGGTTCTGCCTCTCCTACATTTGAAAATACCATCAAGTTCTCATGATAGAATCAATATGAGAATGGTATAGAATTAAATAGGGCATGTCAGAGAATAGAAAAGTTGACCTCATATATTAAAAGCAACTATGAAGTTTATTTCCATGTTTTATGTCAACTTTTCATTTGAAGTATATGTAGTATATAGTATGGTGAATTTTCACTAAATGAACATGCTTCTAAGCAGTCCTCAGATCAAAACCAGAACACGGTAAACACCCAGAAGGCTTCTTGATGCCTCTCCACAAACACTGCTCCTCTCTCCTCCCCGCAGCAACTGCTGTTCTCTTGCTTTCGATTGGGTTCTCCTTTGGGGTTCTAGATTCTTTCTCTCAGCTGGATTTATGTTGTGTGTAAGCGCCACTTATTCCTTAATGCTCTTCCCGGGTCTCTCAGCTCTCCCCATGACTCACTCTCTTAATTCCTTCCGGTCTCTGCTTCAAGGCTACCTCTGGAAAGAAGCCTTTTCTTTGCTTAATCATTTTATAAGGGGGGCTCTTACAAATCTTATAACAAGCCATCATTCAATTGTATTAAGCACACTTGTACATATGTTGCCATCAACATTTCCAAAACATCTTTCTACTTGAACCCTTGGTATCAGCTCTTCTTTTTTCCCCTCCCTCCTCCACCCTCCCACTCTCATGAATCCTTGATCAATTAGATATTATTATTGTTGTTTTCTATCTTAGAGTGTCCATTGTTTCCTTTCACCCACATTTCTGTTATTTGTCCCCCTGATGGTGGAGAGGGCTATATATGCAACCTTGTGATGAATTCTCCCTTTCTCTCCCCCACCCCTTGCCCCCACCATCCCCCTACTCTCATGATATCGCTACTCCCGCTACTGTTCCTGAAGATTTTATCTGTCCTAAATTCGATGTGTCGAGAGCTCTTATCTGAGCCAATGTGTGTACTCGGGTCTAGGCAGATTTGTAAGGAAGAACCGGTTCATCGTCGTGGCGGGTGAGGAAGCATTCAGGAACTAGAGGAATGTTGTGTGTTTCCTCGGTGCTATTCTGCACCCTGGTTGAATCATCCCTTCCTTGTAACCATTCTGTGGAGGGATGTACAATTGTCTACAGATGGGCTTTGGGTCTCCATTCCAACACCCCTCTTTCACATCAATATAATTGTTTGATTTGGACCTTTTGATACCCAATATCTGATCCCGTCGACACCTCATGATCACACAGGCTGGTGTGTTTCTTCCATGTGGGCTTATTTGCTTCCCTGCTAGATGACTGCTTGTTGAACTTCAAGCCTTTAAGACCCTAGATGCTATATCTTTAGATAGAAGACTTTTCTGACAACCCTATGTAAAATGTTTTTTCCTTCTCTGTTTTCATTTCATTCATTACTACCTAACATAATTTTATAGCATGTCCTTGTTTATAGTCCATCTCTGAACATAAGATTCATGATGACAGGACTATTGTCTGTGACTTAATGGATTTTTGAAGGACCAGTACTTATTGACTGTTCTCCTTTAAAAGTATGTGACTATTTAATATTTTGAATGTCATATGAAGGAGCCCTGGTGGCACCGTGGTTATGAGTTGAGTTGCTCACCACAAGGTCAGCAATTCAGAAGCACCAGCCAGTCCAAAGGAGCAGTGAGAAGCTTCCTAGTCCCATAAAGGGATGTGATATGTCTATCTATTTACATAGGTCTTCTTTTAGGAACTCTAATAAAGCTTCGTAGCTTTTCTCATGTAATTCCTGTACATCCCTTGGATGGGAAAATTTAGAATAATTTTTCTACCATTCTAATTATATTTTTCTCTGGGCACTTATGCTAGTATTTAGTTTTGCCATTTGTTTACACCTTTTTAATAACTTTGGTTTGGAAAGCATCTATCTTCTAAAAGGCTTTCTTAGCCAGGGAAGGCAAATAGCAGTCTGCTTATTTTTGCCAATGAGGTTGCGTTGGGATACAGCCATGCCCATTCGGTGTGCGTTACCCATGGCAGCGTTGGTGCATTACCCGTGGCAGTGTTGGTGCATTACCTGTAGCAGCATTGGTGCATTACCCGTAGCAGCGTTGGTGCATTACCTGTGGCAGCGTTGGTGCATTATCCGTGGCAGCGTTGGTGCATTACCCATGGCAGTGTTGGTGCATTACCTGTAGCAGCGTTGGTGCGTTACCCGTGGCAGCTTTAGCAGCTACTCAAAGATGAGCAGCTGCTAAAAGTACTGTACAGTCCACATGGCACTGGCAAAAAAGTGCACTAACATCTGTCTATAAGTATTTTTCCTCCATAACAATGATATGGTGATTAAGTTTTTCTGTATAGTTACCATATACATATTCTAACCGGGATAAATAGTATAATAAACTTATATAAGTAATTTAATAAACTATGCACTAGAGCTACCATTCCCAAACTGTATGCCGAGATACCTCTGGGTGCTGCCGAGAACTCACAGGGCCATGGTGGAACAATTTTCATTTCAAGGGACACAGGAGTATTTGATCTGCATGAAACACTCAGAAGACTGCAAACTCAAGGTATTCGCCTTTCCAGTATAAGTTTATGCTACGTTCATTTCTGCGGCACGGCATCTTTGTGACTCCGGGTTCTCCGTGATTATTGTGATAAAAAGTAAACAGTATGCCAACACCATCACAGCACCAACAATCAGTATGGGAGACCCCAGTCGATGCTAACATTTGAGAGCTTGTGCAGTGCCCCACAGATGGGCATAGTCCATTAATAAGGATTGTGATTATGTAAGAGTGGTGTGAAAGAGCTTCTTTCAATTCATATGTATTATTTTTTCAAATGATGAATAATTGATTAGAACATCATACTTACTAAGTTGTTTGTACCATCTACTTAATAGATAGTTGTTAAATGTTCCTTTTGGTCTAGGGGCACTGTAAAATAATTCTTAGGGCATCCTCAGGCACCTTGAACTGAGAAAGTTTAGGAATTTTGTGCTAGGATTTATACTAAACATTAGAGATGAT